GCATACGGSAAATATAATTTTGGGATCGCAACGTCGGTCCACTGAATCTTAAACGTATTTCACATGATTTTGTTCAGAAATCCCACTTCATAGTTTGCTCTGATGCGAGTGGAGTAGGGTGTGACATGTTTTTACCGTAGAAATTGTTATAGTTAACAATAGAATACAACGAGGCGACAAACTGTGGAGTTGCCACTATAATCGCTAACCGTGACTGTCTGCGCTACGATCTGATCAGTCTTGATAACTGCTATAAACTCGAAAATACTTTTGAATTTTTTTCCGCCCTTCGGGCCTTGCAGGAAATTATTTTTTCAAAACTCTTATGGATCACCCCTTCGAATCGAATCTATGTCTAAACTGATTTTTTCGTTCTTTTCGTAGCAAAAAAATGTTGCTTGACTGTTTTTGACTTGGCTTTGCGAGTCGTTTGTTGGGTTTTATCCTTTTGGCTTGCGAAGAGGTTCTTTTATATCATTTTAGGGAGATTGCGATATTCCCGTCAACGCTGCTGATGAACAACACGAGTAAGCTGGGTGGGGAGGACCCACACGGAATGCTCTCAGCCACTCGTGACCGGGACGCATCACAATTGTCCATCATCAATAAGTAATTATGCTACGTATTTTTTTTTTCAAAACAAAAGCAACAACAAAATAAGGAAAAAATCAAATCAGGGCTTAAAAATCCTTTAGAGCTGGCAAAGGATCGAGAATAGTCACGTTAGTCGCATTTCCACTGCCGATTTTTGTGCCTTGTAAAAACATTTTTCAGTACACTAAGATGAGCAAACTTATTGTCTCCTCAGATAACTAAGAAGGATATGACAAAAATCATTCATATTTTTGAAAATCGCCCGAGATTTGTAGCAAAAATCGACGCAAAAATCACCATTGTGAGCGGCCCTTAACTGCATCGTTGAGGCAAATCAACACTGTTATAGAGTCAATTTCGTATGAGTGGGAAACGGATGGTACTGTACTGTGACCGTAATCGTACTGTAGCCAAATTCTAGTGTCTCATTGGTTCACAAAAATTGTGCAGGCCAGGTCCGGTAACTGTGCGGTGACCGTGTGGTAATTTCTACCGTACGTTTCCCATTCATACGAAATTGACTCTMTCATCACCATTAACTTTACTGGCCGCCATTTTGAATTTTGAATCGAGAACAAGGTCTAACAGACTTCGTGCCCAGGGGTATATTTTCTGGGAATGAGGAATGAACGACAGAAGATTACCCCTGGATTCCCGAGGATGAGTAAAAGTCTTCTTTTACTCAGACGAAGGATTAACGTCCGAAACGTCAGTAAGTTACTTCTCCTACTTTTTTAAGGTGTTTAATTTATMTTTTTACACAACTGTATCTATAACCAGGACAAGCACTAAGGTCAAAAGGATGCAAAAGTTTTTTATTGTAACTTTACTGCTATGCTATCTTAACATTTACATCATTTTATCATTTATAATTTTGCTTGATTTTTTTATCTTTTGTTTGAATTACTATTATATCGAGCAGTGTATGTTATYCTTTCATTAGAAATCCTTCCATATATTTTTTCTTTTATGACAGAGTGATCAGTTTGACTTCAGTAGTGAAGCCATTGACGAGGTTCGAAAATATCAACTTTGGCTGGGCGCTATTAGTGGTGTTAAGTCGAGGGTTTTGTGATGTCGTTTTGCCGTCGACTTTGGTGCTCACAATGCTCTGAAC